CCATGCTGACCTCACATATTCTGCCCTCATCTCATAACTCTCAATGGCACTACCCCTTCAAATGAACCTAATGCCCTGATCCTGGTGATTGTATCAAGCAAGTCTAACCATATTTTCCCACATTATTGGATGCCACATGCAGACCCATCTCCATTATTTTGCTTATCCCTGTTATATATGATGTCTGTGGTTGCAGGCAGTGCTCTGCCGGCTCTTAATAAAGAATAGAGCCTGAGATGAGACGGCGATGCTCACCTTTGTTCTACGTGTATTGTTTTGCAGTGGTTCAGAAAGTGGACAGTGTGTCTGAGGGCATTGAAAACTATGAAGGGAAGATTATTGCTGTGGAGACTGACCTAAAGAAGTTGGGTAAGTTGTGGTTTACACAAATATCCTGGAACTCACCAGAATGTCATTTGCCTTTGAATAACAACTTTTAAAACACAAATAATACAATTGAATTTACAAGTCTTACACAGAATAACATTGTTTAAGTGCTTTTCTAGAACAGATGCAATGCAAATATTTGTATCTCAACAATGCAAACCTTTTACAGCTAATGGAGCCTCTCAGTTATAACAACTGTTGAACCTTTTCAGATATTCTTACAAAGGTTTTCTTTTATTCTGTTTTTATGGATGCTTCCAATAACACTTCTGCTTTGATTTCATTCAAGCATTGTCTGTGTTTTCTGGTGAACACAAGCACAGTTGTTTATGTGGGATTGTTTTGTATATATTGTGTGCGATGGATTCCACTTTGTTTTAGATGATCAAACCGGGGAGAAGTCTGATAACACCTCCACTGAGATCCAGGCCTTTAGGAACAGCATCTGGAGTCTGCAGAGACAGCTGTCGGCAGTGCAGCAGCACGTGCACAGTGACCAGGCTCAGCTGAGTGAGCTGCAGAGCATCAGTGAGCACCTGCACAGCAGCCAGGGCTCCCTGCAGGGCTCTGTGGACAGCAACAGTGCCAGTGTGCGCTGGGTCAATGGCAGTCTGCAGACATACAGCAGCCTGATGGAGGCCCTCCAGGACCAAACAGCCAGGCTGCAGATAGAGCTGCAGCTGCAGAGCAGGTTCCAGAGTGAGGCTGTGCTGAGCATAGGCTCTCTCAACATCAGCCAGGCCCAGCAGAGAGTGCTGATTACGGCTCTACAGCGTTCTGTGGATGACACCAGCCAAGCCATTCACAAAATGCGCAGTGACTTCCAAACACTGGAGCAGATGACACGACAGACCCACTCTGATGCTGAGTGGCTCCGTACGAAAGTGGAAAACATGCAGGTGGTGGTCACTAATGCATCGAGTCAGGCCAAAGCCAACCAGGACGGTCTGGAGGAGCTGGGGTCTCAGCTCTCCTATATGAACTCTCTTCTGCAGAACGCCAGCACCAAGGCTGAGGCCCAAGACCAGGCTCTGAGGGAGCTCCAGGACCAGCACACAGACTTTGGGAACTTCACCTCTCAGAAGTTTGAGCGACTGGAGACTAGGCTGTACCAGTCTGAGCAGAGTATGGACCGTGTGACTGGAAACATCAGCTTCACCACACAACTCCTTGGCTCCATTAACCTCAATCTGAATCAGCTGCGCACCTGTTCGGAAATAGTGAACCAACACACAGACTTCCTCCTCAACCTCAACAACAGTGTGACTGACATAAGGACAGACAGCACCATCCTAAAGTCACAGCAGGAAGAGCTGATAGCACGTTTAGATAAGGAGGTCACCAGCTTGTCCATTGTCATGGAGGAGATGAAACTAGTGGACACCAAGCACTCACAACTCATCACCAACTTTACCATCTTACAGGGTGAGGAATCTAGACATTATTCTTTTCTAGTCTCGTATTTTATCTACCAAGTTCTGTTATTTAAAAAAAAAAAAATATATATATATATATATATATTAGGGCTGGGCAAAAATATTTTTTTAAAATCGCGATTAATCGCATGAGTTCGAGCGATTAATCGCGATTAATCGCATGTTATACGCAAAACCAAAGTAGAGTATAGCGCTCTTTTATTGGAAATGTAAATGAAAGAGCCATACATTTGTTGTGCAAACAGCATTTCTTTCACAGGGGAATCCTCAGAGCCTTCAAGGTATTCAGGGAAGGCTCAAGAAAAAATATTGAATGGACGTTTGTTCTACTAATATATTTATTGAATATTTCTTATGCTGTGAGCAATGAACACTACACTAGTAATAATTTCTAGTCTAGATCAGTGTTATAAACTTGGACTGATATTTCTTAGGAAACAAAGGGTTAATATAATGGAATGGAAATGGACCAATCACATTTTTTCTTCCAATGGTATCTGGGTAAATCAGTTACTCCAGCACTGAACTAAAGAAATAAGCTCAGCTCAGAGCGCACGGCTGGTCCGGCCAGAGCCGGTGCCCGCGGCTGAGTCCGCGGCAGGAGCCGGAGCCCGCGACCAGAGACCGTGGCCGGTGCCGAGACGGGAGTCGGAGCCTGCGGCCGAACCCGCGGCCGGGCCCGCGGCTCGCGGAGGCTCGGGCACGTTGCATCTCACGTGGTCAGAAAAAAGTGAAAAAAGTGTAAAGAAAAGACGTCAAACTTAAAGAAACGCTCACGGTGGACTTTTTCAAAATAAAAGCCAGTGAGAAAAAGACGTTTACAATAAAATAAATAAATAAATAATAAAAACTGCGTTAACGGCGTTAATGACTTAATTAGTTAACGCAAAGTTAACGTGCCCGGCACTAATATACATATACATATACATATATATTATACATATATATATATATATATATATATATATATATATATATATATATATATATATATATATATATATATATATATATATTATATATATATTTATATTTATATTTATTTATATATATTTATATATTTATATATACACACATACATACATACATACTTCCTTAGGTCCCCCTGGCCCCAGAGGATCAAGAGGGGAGAAGGGGGCTACAGGACCGGCTGGACAACCTGGACAGAAAGGCGAAAGAGGTGAAAAGGGCGTTGCAGGAGTACGAGGCCCCAGAGGAGAGCAGGGTATTCCGGGTCCTCCAGGTCTACCAGGGCCAAAGGGACCTCCAGGTGTTCCAGGCATCCCAGGATCTAAAGGATCTCGGGGGTCAGGGGGCAGAGCAGGTCCCCCTGGCTCAAAAGGAGAGCCAGGATCAGCTGGTCTGCCTGGGAGAGATGGGCAGCCTGGTCCTCAGGGCGCTCAAGGGCCACCAGGCATCAGAGGGGCCACAGGACCCCCTGGGGAGCAGGGCCTTAGGGGCTTACCTGGACCTGTTGGGCCCCCAGGACCAGTGGGACCACCTGGACCTTCAGGTCTTCCAATTAGGGGTCCAGTTTTATCTACAGGCCCAGTATCGCAGCAGGATGAGGCTGTGGCTCCTTCACTCTCTGCTCCAGGTGAAAAGAATTAACCATGATGTTTCTTTATTCAGTGATTGTGTTTATGACACAAGATTTTTCTGTACCTTGCAGGGTGTCTAAATGAATGGGTGAACCACAAGAACAAATGTTACTTCTTCTCCAAAGATCTAGACACCTTTGATGATGCAAAGACGAGCTGTGAATTGATGTCTGCTTCAATGTTAATCATTCGTAACACAGAGGAGCAGGTAGGCCTCAAAAGAATACCATTAAGACATTACCAGACATTACATGGAGATAACCAGTATGTACTAAAATTATTTGTTCATTCTCAGAAATGGCTCAAGAATCAAATATATGGAAAAGGTTACTTCTGGATGGGCCTTACTGATAGAGGAGAGGAGGGCGTCTGGCAGTGGCTAGATGGGACCAAGCCATCATTCACGTCAGTAATAAAGAAACTTTTTTTTAGTTCTGTGATTTAAACATTGAAGTAGTATTTCCTCAACTATCTTAACTGTTCCCCCTTTTAAGTAAGTGTTGAATGATCGCCCCCTGCTGTCTTTTGCAGGTCATGGAAGCCTGGGCAGCCTGACAACTGGGGCCATGGACATGAAATGGGTGAAGACTGTGCTGGCCTCATACATGATGCACTCTGGAATGATTTCTTCTGTGAAGATCTCATAAACTACATTTGTGAAAGAGAAATGGAAGCCTGTATGTGTCTGATATTGCTTGTTGCATTCCTATATATTTTATCCTAAATGTTTCATTCGTCTAATCCTTATGTCTCTTTATAGCCATCTCTGCAGTAAGTTCCACTGGAAGATAACAGAATACTACATGCTACTGCTCTGCTCAGAAGCAGCTGAACCTCTCAAATGTGGTACTGGACCACTGGCACAGTGCAGGGACAGTCCGTATGGAGCAAGAAGAGGAACAAACTTAATAAAGGCCCTTTTGCCATTGCAGCAAATGTCTCTTAGAGTAAAGCCTTTATTCTCCATGGTGTATGTCCAACTGCCTATGCAATACCAGAGGCTCAACAAAGGAAAGATGATGCATTAGTATTTTCTAATAACAAGACCGTTGATTTTATAAAGCCTGTATACATTGTGTAGAACTGTATTTTGATGACCTAATATTTGAATGTATATTTTATTATTACATGGGGATTTGACATTTCATGAAGCACATCAAACTCTTTGCTGTGTATTACATTTGTATGTATTAAAACTAGGTGCTATACGATGTAAAAGGTGTCACAGCTATGCAATCATAGAACAAACCTGTTATCTCAACATTCATGGTACTCTATCTACACTTACAGTTTAACATACTGTATGTACAGTACGTCATTTATTTTAATGGTTAATGATTTGTTCCTCAAGTGACCAAAAATTGTGGTCCTACCTGGGTCAATATTTGCACAGGAATACTCCTAAATATCAAGAGACCATCCAAAATAAACATTCAACCTGAAAACTATATCATTGCATGTTTTCACATTTTTATGTTCTGAGCTATGGGATGTTTCCACATGACTGCAGAATGAAGCTCATCACAAAACTATGGAGTCTAGACAGTTCTGTAGAATTTAGTTTATTGACTTATTGACTTTATTGACAGAAGGTATTTTCACATTTCTATTCATGTTATCCATATTTTGTTTAGCTTGAACTTTCGTTATGTTCTCTCAAAGTCACATTTTAGCATGGTGCTGATCTCAGATGACCATGGGTTAACTTATGGCAAAGCCTTGTTTAGGTCAGAGCATTTCCCTTCAATCTTTTCACATGCTGTCCCCTGCTTCAGGTCAACTCTAATCACAGTCACTTGTTCAGCTGCACAGATGAAATGATCTTACAGTAGCACCTTTAGTAGAAGAGAAACTAACTAGCCTGAGATCTGGACTAAAATCAAACAAAAAGTCACTAAAGACTTGGAGTGCAGACAAAAATCTGGACTTCACTACACCAGCCTAAAGACAAAGCTACTATGTGAGACAGCGTTTTAAGATGCACTCTTGCAAAATAATTTGACATCGTAAACATCGAAGCAAAATCAATAATCAAAGAATGCAAGAGCTGACACAATGTTAAGTTGTGACAGAGTGTGAATAAATAAATCTTTAAGTATATACTACTTAACCGCTTAATTCACATAACATTTACACATAACAAACATACACAAAAGAAGCAGCATATTGTCTAAATGTAGGTTTATTGTTGAGGTATGATGGAACTAAATCTGTATTTTTTGTTTTATACAACCACAATATTTTAGTATAAAATTGCTGTGGTGAATTACATTATCAATTATAGAACTGCCAATTGAGTCTGGGGAAACTTCATTTAATAACTTACAGTAACATCACTTTTCTGAAAGCCTTTCGTTTTTCTCTTTCACACTTCTGGGTGGGTGCAGCTTTGTCACTGTAATGATGTATATTTTCCTCATGAGAATGTTGTGCCTCAGTGCAACAAGGTGGTGAGATCAGAGAAGCCATGCGATCGAGCTCCAGGCTTCTATCTCAAGCTCCAGTAAAACTTTTGTTTTTGACTGTAAACATGGTTCCAATAATAATCATTCAAACAGGAATTATTCCCCCTTACAAACTCCCATTATAAATCCCATGGTGCTGTCATTTGCTCTCAGTTAGCACTGGATACTGGTGGCTTGTTCTCTGACACAGGCTGTGTGCGTCTTCCTGTCCCAAATGGTGAGATTCTGGTGAAATGGTTGGAGACATTTGTGATGTGGCAGGCTGGCTCAAACAGACTCATGTGGGGCTAGTCATCCTTCTCCACTATGATCTCCCCGTGAAGCACTCTCCTTCTCTGCCGCAGCATATGGAAGTAGAGCTGAGGGAACACTGGCAAAGACACAAAATGGTCAAGAGTTTTGACATTTCATTCACAACTGTGCAGCACCATATGAAAACTGGCCTACTGTTTGATTTGAATGTGTGTTTTACTGCCCCCTTGTGACTACATTGGCTTTAGCTTGCCTGTTCCTTTGAAAGATCTCTGGATCCTAGGCATTTGTCTGCTTTTCATACTGATGATAATTCATGTGTTAATTAATTATTAAATAAATAGGATAAATATAACAAACAAAACAAACTATGTTAGTGTGTGATGTTATTATGTGTCACACAGCATGAATTCCTTTTATAATTATATTTAGCTCAAATGTACATAAGAACAGGAAAAGATACAAACAATTATCCAAAACAATAGGTAACTTGACAATCTGTAATATTATCAAACAGCACATTACCCTGATCATGCCAGACCAGAAGTAAATGTATTGTTACATCTGTTGTAAGCTTTATATACTAAAGTGAAAGAGATAATGCTTCTTACGTGGGATGTAGGACAGCATGACAATGATGAGGCAGTAGTAGTAGTCGAAGGATACATTATACTTGTTTGGAAGCCTCATGGAGTACATTCCAGTTCTGCGCACAAACGGCAGAGCAGCGTAAATAGTGAGCAGCTCCCCAATGACTCCCAGTGGGTACAGGATGATGAACAGGTTGTACCTAGAATATAAAAATACCATGTTAGAATCCTGCAATCCCAGTCTGTGTCTCAGCTGCAGCATGCCATGAAATGATCATGTTATATCTCCGCATATTGTTTGACACAATATATACTGTATATTTATAAATTATTCATCAAAACTCATTTTGATTTAATTTCCTACTCATCCTTCTCTGTTGCTGAATTGTAATTGTGACAAAGCATGCTTTTTGTTGAATCACTTTCTAGCTCTTTGTAGCAGTGTCTAGTAGAATGGTGACTCAGGGCTAAGGGCTCCTGTTTGGTGGAGACCACAGTGGCTCGGGGGAGCGTCTCAGCGGATGTGAGGGAAACGTTGGGTGAACATTCCATGACCAAAACAGATGGTCTTAAAAACAGGAGCAGCTGAACATGAGCCCTCTCTAGGGGCCTGCCGTCTCCTCCACTACTTAAAGAAATACATCAAGAGTCGTAAGATGGAGGGTTGGTGCCATCCACTGCCCTGGAGCCAATGCCAATGGGCACGTAGTAAATTATATAATGATAATGCAGTAAAATATATGACCTAGATTTACTTTATTTTACAGAAAAACAATGAACAATGCTTTAAACTTCACATGATCTATAATAATACTGCTCTGAGAATGTAAACAGGATGATGTAATATGTTAATTTGAATAATCTGACGTAAGTGAGCCTCCCTGGCCAGCAAGCCAGTCTCGACCAAGTTGTGCATCTATCAGTGAGTACAGCTGACGACTCAGATTTCATCTGGACCAGTGTAGCAGAGACGTGCAATGACTGCCACGTCATAGGCACTAACGATAAGAACAAAACAATGTGCTGTTGTTAAGTTTGAGAACTAAACCCTCATGTTTTTCATAAAAACACACCTCGCAGTTAATACTCCTGAACAACTTCAACACCACAACAAAGCATAGCATAGCACTTGGTTAATGCTAAAATCAATGAACAACGCAGTGAGCTCTGATGTTAGCTAAAGAGGTGCAAATCAAAACAAGCACATGCTCCCCTCTCCCTAAACACCCAACTGGTTTAAAGGCACAAAACAACATGCCCAGACTTCAGTCCAAACACAAATCTCAGTTAGGCTCAGCACAGCTACTAAGGTTGGTCCACCTGGCCCATTTGATGAAATACGGCAGGTGGTGCAGCAGCTTGAATGTGTAGTATGAATATCTGGTAATCTCTGTCAATGTCCACACAACCAAGAAAAGGATTACGCTCTCTTCATTCTGGATCTTCATTCAGGTCAAAGGAAAAACACAGTTTATATTGGCACAATTCTTAAAGTTAAGATTAACATGAAATCTTATTGGCAGCAGTAGAAAATGTTTCATATTGTGTTTGATGTACAATACTGCAATTGTTAATTTGCAATAAAATTTAATAAAACTAGTCACCTGTCTGATGCTGTTTGTTATAAACCAAACCATGAAAATCCTTGAGCACACTTGAACTCCAGTTACAATCACAGAAGTCCTCACAATTCCTAAAGTAAAGTTAATAAAATAATTAGGCTCCCTTAGATTTGACAAACAATCGATTGCACACACAAGTGCAAGATTACACACACACACACACTTACCAATTGCACAGTGTCCGACCTGTGATAAAAAAGCACACAAATCACATCCTATAAAATTTCCAGTAATGAAATGAGTAAAAATGTCTTGTAAAATTCTTACCTCAACTAATGCGAAGGTCTGGAAAAACTTGAGTGTCCTTGCTATACTTCTGTAAAGACCCTTGTGTGAGCCTTTCTGGATGTAAAAGCGAACCATTGCCATTGCCAGAACCAGCCACCTATAGACACACATCTTACTATATCACAATACATGTATTTGAACCTATATTTTATTCCATGTTGTTCAATAACTTAATGATCCAACAATATAGAGTATAGTATAGTATAGTATTTTCTTCACACTTTCAAATGTGATGACAAAAATTTTATTTGCAGCTGATGACAAAACTAAACCTAATTCTTTCATGGAGCTCGCACTTATTTTCTTTTTTATGCAGGCTCTTCTTCATTGCCTAAGGCCTCTAATGTAACCAACCCCCAGTTATTGCTGTTGACACTATCACTTGAGTACACTATTTTCGCGTATAGGTCTGTATTTCTTTTTAACTTCGTGCGTTATTGTTTTATCCTGTCCGAACCTTAACATGGTTTAGGTTAGGACAGTTTGTCAAGGGCTATATTAGTGGGAGGCGAGCTAGGCTACATTAGCTGCCTGACTTGTGGAGTTCTAATGATCGCCTAATTGTCGCACTCGTTAATTAAGCATGGCTGGGCGTGAAATGTCATTGCAAAAGCGGCCGAAAAAGTAAATTGTATTTAAATCTGTGGTAGTGTAAAGAAAGTGCAACGGGAGTATTTAACAGCCTCGACACTGGGCTCTTGTGGCTCTAGTGTCGCGGTGTCTGTCTAAACTTAACCCTGCGCCTGGGAGAAGCGCACTGGGCCTTGACGCACACACCATGCTGTCAGCCCTATTTGGACACAGCGACAGAGCGAGACTGTGACTCTAACCCAACGCCTTTCATTCATTATCTGACCTACTCCTGAAAACTGCCATATTACTAGATTGAAACATGTTCAAAGTTACGAGCCAAGACTGCCCAGCTCCGACAGTGCGCGCTGAAGCGCGTTAGGACGTGCGCTTTCAGCTCGTCATATACACCGTACTATAAACAGCAACACGCTTACAGTTTTTCGGGAGCGGCTAACTTATGGACATTTGTATTAATAGGCAACAGGGGCGGATTGTGACACGTACCCGGCGGTCATGGCGATGTTGTAGAAAGTGAGCCATGCGGTAGCGAGGGCGCTTTTAGTTTTCTTCTTGTTGTTGTTTTCCTTCTCGTCTACCGTGCCGTCCTCCTCGCCGGACGCCATGGTACGCCAGGGTGGGGAAGTCAGGAAAGGAGCAGACAGCTGGAACTGCTTGGGAGGGGAGCAGCAGGGTCATCCATCCATCTATCCGCCCCCGAGCTGCTCTCTCGCGGGACCAGTGCTACTACAAGTGTGAGCCTGCTGGTACTGCCCTGTCTGTGAAATAAAACAAAGCATCCTTTGCAACACAGGTGGTTGATGTAATACGCATCTACAACTGCATTGTTGATTACTGAATCACCCAAGGACATCACTTCTAATAGTGTTTCATGAATATGAGATTAAATAAAGGATAAAAGCATGACAGAATGGCATTGACTAATAATGAATGAAGCTGGTGGTCATTGTCAAAATACATATAGACCTATATGAACATTTCTACTTTAGGCCGCAGTCTTCTTCCATCATTCCACTAGATGGCGTTAATGGTCCATAACTTGAATAAACTACATTCAAAAATGTAATATAATCCTTTTATTGCCATTAATATATACTGTCATTTGTTTCCATTTAGCTATATTATGATAAACAAACACATGCATTTTAAATAGATCCTTAAATTTTTTAATTCTCTGCTTTGGATTAACAAATAATAAAACACTGAAAAAAAAAAGTTGACGACACATTAAATAAATAAATAAGGTCAACATGACATTCTTTTCTTTTCAAGTGCCCTGCTGGTTCCCTCTATAGGTCAACGGTGGTACGTGTAACTTGTTGTGTCCTGCAGAGCAGTAAAGAGACAGGCCTGATACAATGGCTCCTGCAGTGTAAGCAGATGAGGTGTACAGACAGGTCTGTGGTGTGTGGAAAGTGCTGGTGGACGCCAGGCCCAGAGCCCAGAGCCCAGAGTAGAGGGACAGAGGCGCCTGTCTGCCTGAGAGTGCCACAGGATGGGGGCAGGGAAGACTCTGAAGTTTGCCATATGTGAGGTATTTCAGTTTGTGGGGCTGTGTGTACCACTCTTTATTGTTATGCAGAGGTTTGCAGTAATTGTAGCCAAAGTCAAAGATCTGGCTCAGCCTCCTGGTGACAGCCGCACAGCTTATTGGTTAATTGTGGCAGCCTCTGTGGCTTATGTTACCTCCACAGCGCTGTTCATCTGGGTCCCTCTCAAGTACATGGTTTTTCAAAAGAAGAAATTTCTCATTGGGAGGAAGAAGTGGTGAGTGTGTCCTGGAGCAGTAACTTTAGTTTAACTTGGTCCAATTTGCTCCAAAATCCATTCACTTAATTTGTAACATTCTCTCTCCATCTCTGTGTCAGGAGGCCTGTGGCACTTGTCTATGTGATCCTTTCCACGTTACCCTGCTTTGCCTTTCTCATTGCCAGCTCAGAGGTACAGTTTTTCATACAGCACTAGACCTCTCTTAAAATATTAGGACCAAGAAAATATTTGCAATGATAGTTGTCTTTGTAAGCATTTTGATAAAGTCTGTAGCTCCCAGAGGAATTATACTCAAACCATGAACAAGGAGCTGCTGATAAGCAGCTGGGTTCCTGTTCCTGTCCAAAATGGCCTTGTCAAGTCATCTGTCTATGCGGCACATTTCTCTTCCTGGCTGGACACGGGCCAGCTCCTCTGGGCTGTTTTATGTGGCACTTTCTAAAGCGCACACTGACCTCCAGACCTCTGCTTATCTGCTGCCTTTACATAAGAGCTATAAATTATTACTATTTTTGCTTTGATCTGTGTCCTCCTATTGGATTGATGTTACAACTTTACCAATTAATATTGACGGCAATACCAAATACCCACTAATCACTAAACTGTGAGCGTAATTTGATTTAGCATATCTTTAAATTAGAATAACTGTGTTTATCTAAAGGTTCAGATCCACAACAACATGAAACATGACATGTTCATGGAGGTCCCTGTGTCACTTGTCCTCTTCTCACTCATCTGTATGGACATAGTGGAGCGGATACGGCATTGCAGACTGACAGGCCGGGGTAAGCCCTGCTGTCCATGTGCTCACAACACTTCACACACTCAGGAAATTCAGTTGGCAGTTCAGTTAGCACTTCTCATCATAGTGCTGAATGGCCAGAAGTCAGTTTTTCTGAAGAAAACTATGGTCATGGGTTAAGAAAACTGCAATTTGCTGGAAATTCAACAATTTACAAAACACTTTTTGCTGTTTCTCACCTAACCAATTCTTTATCCCACTGTGTGGCATAGTGGTTAGAGCTAAAGTGTTTCTACATGGTAACTCACTCACCTTCTTATTGTAAATTTCACAGTTTGACCAGTTTACTGAAAGTCTATTTCCATTCTTTCCTCCATTTCTTGGATTTCTGTTCTTTGAATAAATTCTATAAACCAAAAAAACATAAATATCTAAAAATAGCCAATAGTTAATTTACTGTCATCCTCCCTTGGAGAAAAAATAAGTTATAATAGCATGTTTAGTTCAGGAAAAAAGATGAAATATTTAACACTGTGTGTATCGAATGCCTTTTGTACTTTTGGAAGTTAACAAAAAATTTGCAAGTCTTCTTTATCTTTTCAGCTAACGACAGAGACAGAGAAGCAGAGATTCCCTCCACAATCCTCACACACATGGAGCCAGTCACACCACTAAATCCACTTATCCCAGGACCAGCAGTGCCCGGGGCAGCTGTGCCCCCTTCTGTATCCTCGGCATCACAGCACAACAATCGCACCCCAAATGGAGCAAGCATGCGGCCAGAGCCCAATGGGACAGTCCCGCTGGTTTCAGGTCCTCAAGGAAATTCCAGGAGACCGTTCAGCATCTCCGCACTAAGCTCCCGTTCTGAGAGCATAGGGGCCTACCACATGTCTCCTTACACATACACAGGACCTTTGCGCTTCCTGTGTGCCACTGATGCCAGAGCGGATGTCATAGTGGACAGCTTCATGTTTTGGATGGACACAGTGGAAATGGTACGGTCTGCAGGTCACCCCCTGGTTTACTACTCTGGGTGGGTATTCCCCATCTACATCTTCAGCTACCTCTCCTGCCTAAGAGTGGTGGTGATGCCACACAGCCCTCTGCTCTCCTCACTCGGGGTGGCCCTACAGGATCTACCTTTCTTCTTTGTGCGTGCCGGATTAGTTGCGTTTTTTGGTTTTGTTACCCCTGTTCTTTACATCATGAAAAACTTGTTGATATGCTTAGCATTTATTTATTTTAATTTCATGACCAAGCTAAGGATTTTTAATACAGAGAGAATGGTCTTTTGAAATTGTGATCTTTGTAATTTACCAAATACATTTTACTTGAAGCACATAAAATAGATTACACTTTTTGGACATAGTTAACTTGGACATAAATACAGTTCAACAAAAGACCATTTAAAACTAGTCTGTTAAAATAATATTGGACAGCAAAGCATGGAGCAATGCTAAGGTAGTCCCCAGTTTGAACTCAAAGTGGGTCATGTTTTACTGCCAAGAACATTCCTATGTTTATCCTGAATGTTGTGTACTCTTGCGTTTCCTCAATCATGGGCTGGGCAATATGATTATAAAAATCAAATAACCTGATATAGATATGTTGATATTCTATTTTGCTGATATTGTCAGATTGTTTTATTTTAATTTTTTACATTTAAAGCAGCAAACACAAACAAAAAAACTTTTCCCAGCAAATGGTCATCATTATGTCTTATACAATAGATATAAAGATTCTAACTGCACGGATTGTGATATAATTGAAATCATGAGCTTAGCTATCTATGATTTTTGCTGGTAAATTGCCTATATCTACTGTAAACCCTGTACATGTAATTTGAGGTTTTCTATCCCTTTTTACATTATTGGAGTACAGTAATAGTAAAAACTGTGATCAGTTTATGTACATGCACGTATACATGTGTGGGAGTGAGTTATACTTTGCTAAATTCAATAAAATGTTTCAGTAAAATTGCCAAACTGTGTATTAATATTGAACTGGTTTATGTCTGAGCTACAGATATTTAAAAGAAATTTGTCAAATTTTGTCATAGTCTTTGCTAAGAAGAATGTGTTTCCTGCCACATTTCAGCAAAATAAACTCATCCTTGTTCCCACAGGTCTCCAGTGTCATAACACATGCAATAAATGAACCAGTTATGGCTGGCTTTGCTTTATATCATGTTGCCAGCAAAACTATTAAATTTAATTTCAGTACTCGTTGTCATGTTATTTTTTTCCTATTTCATAAAGTTAACTGCAACTGAAAAAATATATTTACCTATTTAAACCTACTGAATTTACATAGCTAAAATCAGAGCCCTGTACAGCTGAATATCTACTGACCTTTCCAGTGAAAAGGAAACAGGACTTCCTTCTGTCCACTCTCTTGTCTGATGTGCACTCCTATGGACTACATTCCCACTGACACATGGTCACACTGCTAACCTATATTTCTTTAACCTAGTTCACTGCTCTGCACAGTCAGTTTCTACAATAGAATAGGCAATAAGATAGGCAGAAGAAGACAGTCATACACTTTTTTCACTTTTAACAAATTTAAATTACCATTATAAGCCAGCAGAAACATCCACCAAGCACTATGTAGTTATAAGATCTACTGAACAAAACTAGAAATAAAAGTAATGGTAAAAAGAAAACTGGGGCCCTGCATCCACCTGACCACATACCATGCCCATTCTTTAGAATCTTTAATGTTATAATCAGCTGTATTTTTGTAATAAGACAAATCTGCTTGCCTAGCACATCTTTACCCCTTTCCACTCTGTGTAAGAAAACATCTCTTTGAAAACTCCTGGAAATTGCTGTGTTGTGTAGCCCCCCCATGTGACAGGATATCCATTGGAATGATTTTGGGGAAAGCACAATCTGAGTGTCACTGCTGCTCTGTGTCCCACACCTTGGCACAGTCCACATGCATCCACAGCCCAACACCACTCAGGATCATGTTAACCAAAGCCACTTTAGTGCTATGTCTGCTGCAAGCCATCTACATCACTGCTGATATAGGTAAGAATCTACATTCCACTTAACTCTATGACAGGAAGTAGCGATGAGTTTTAAAATGGAATACCTTTATCTATCAACATTTTGAATGGAAAATTCCAGCCAAAATGCAGAGAAAATGTATACGCAATAAAGACATTTCTCTAGAAGTTAAAACTTTCATTTAAAGGTGCACTGTGTAACTTTTTTGTTGGGGGTCTGTCACCTGCTTGTTTCTACAAATATGTCATTACTCTACCTGAAATGTTCCACTGTATGTCATTAAACAGTTCTACCTTACATGTATTCAATTACAGGCGGTTTTATAGCCCAAAAATACCTCGAAAAACATACATTCTGGCAATGAGCAGGGTTACCTCAGATCTGACTTGTAACTTGGTCTGGTTTGGTCTCCATGAAGATAAAAAGGTATAATGCCATACTGTGAAACATTCCAGACAAGGCAATAACAAGGAGAAAAGCAGCTGACGGACCTCCCCAACAGAATGTTACACAATGCACTTTTGACAGATTTTTTTTGTTTTTTGGTTTAATCAAAACTATAATGTAATTTAGAGAAGTTTTGACCCTTGCTACTGCCCATTTCTAACCTGGAAGTAAAATTATAAACTTTGGTAAAATATTAAAGATTATTTAAGAATTTTCGAGAAATCTAATCTAATAATGTAAAATATAATAATGTTTTAGTTATATTTATAATCTTACCTGTCATATGCACTTTAAATGCATGCACATTTTTAATATTCTTTACAGACAGTGGCTCCTTTTTGATCTATAATGACAACCATAACAAGTGCATAAGAGTGGAAAGTGCTACCTCCATCACGGTTGCCCAGTGCAACCCTCATGCCAAAGAGCAGCAGTTCCGCTGGGCTTCGGAGTCCCGTGTCCTCAGCCTGTCCCTCAAACTCTGTCTGGCAGCCACTGAAATCACAGACTGGGTCAAAGTGGTACTCTTTGAGTGTGATGAGAACAGCGAGCTGCAGCACTGGGAGTGCAAGAATGACACCTTGTTTGGTCTGAAGAACCAGGACCTGCACTTAAACTGGGGCAACCGTAATGAGAGGAACATCATGGTGTACAAGGGCGCAGGCCTGTGGAGTCGCTGGAAGATCTACGGCACACGAGGTGACCTCTGCTCCAAGGGTTTTCAAGGTACGGCTGAGCCTGAAATTAAGTAAACAAAACAAGACAACTAACTTAAATCTCCACTATGTCAGCTGATATAGTGGACTTAAAGTTTTCTGCTCTAGCAACATTCCTAAAGGACAAACTATTTCAGTGTAATGCAAATCTTTTATCATATATTTGGGTAGTAAAGGTATATCTGTCTATTTGCTCATTTCACAAAGCTCCCTCATTTTACACTTTCCTCTTTAAATGTAATGTTCTCCTCTTTATTCCCCTCAGAGATCTTCACTCTAGGGGGCAATGCATTTGGAGGGCCATGTCAGTTCCCATTTAAGTTTGAATCCACGTGGTATGCTGAGTGCACAAAGGACGGCCGCAAAGATGGACAATTGTGGTGTGCAACTGAGAGGGACTATGACACGGATAAGAAATGGGGCTTTTGTCCAACCAAAGGTAAACAAAAGCATTTTCATTTATAAGAATAAGCACAAATGAAATTACATGTGCATTATAGACATGATGCAAGTCATGTTAAGTGTTTGTATTAGCAGACTGAGTTTAGTGGATTGTGTTGGGGCGGCTAGTGCTGACTGATCTGGTTGCTGACCCCATAGATGCCCCCAACAGAACAACATCAGAGCTTCCTCCCATGAGAAGTCTTCACACAAATGTGCACATTTCCCCCTTTTCTCACCAGCCCTGTTCCCCTGACTCTGCTCAAGTCACGAGGACAAGAAAAGGACAAAGATAAAACTAACTACTAATGTGTACTGACACACACTTCTCCAAAATATGGGTGAATAATAAAGATTTGATAAGGTTGTGTTTTTGTACAGCCACCTCGGGCTGGGACACTGACCCAGTGACTGGAGTGGAGTATCAGAGGAACGCTCAGGCCGTGCTGACCTGGCACCAGGCCAGGAAGAGCTGCCAGCAGCAGGGAGCTGACCTGCTCAGCATTGTCGAGCTACACGAGCAGTCCTACATCTCAGGTACTGTACTCAAGTTGATCTGGGCATGCACAATAATGTTATTTTACACTTACAATTGTTATATTTTGTTTACCTTTCACATGCTTCACTGATGCTGTGTTTGCCTCTGTAGATGTAGAACTAACAGACTGCAGACCCATATTCTAAGGATGAGATTAAGTAGTCATCATAACAACACGTGTTTATTGTTTGTTGAGGCAGGGTTGACAGCTATTTTAGGGACTTCACTGTGGATTGGACTACACAGTTTGGATTTTGACAGTGGCTGGCAGTGGAGCAATGGAAACCCATTTAGATACCTTAACTGGGCACCAGGCAAGTCCTAGTTGAAGGATTAAATGTAGCTAATTGTGTTGTAACATTGCATAAAACCTGTCAGATCATAGAGCCTTCACCATTTGTCCAACAGGCCATCCATCTTCAGAGCCTGGGACCAACTGTGCAACCATGAACACCGGAAAAGCCTCCAAGTGGGAGAGCAGCTCTTGCAACAAGAAACTTGGTTATATTTGCAGACGAGGAAACTCTACAGCTCTTCCTGCCCCTCTAAGTAAAATCACATTCAATCATTAGGAGTAGCAGTAATATTTTGTTACAGTGAAAAAAGCTGCCTTCATCCAACAGGCAAGGACCAGCCTAGCTTCTGTCCAAACCACTGGGTCCCATACTCTGGAAACTGTTACTACCTTGACAGGAGTAAAAAGATGTGGAAGGATGCTCTGAGTGCCTGTCATAAAGATGGAGGCGATCTGGCCAGCATAGCCAGTATAGAAGAGCAGAGCTTCATTATCTCGCAAATGGGATACTGTAAGTATAATGCAATTATTGAGTTTGTACCAATATTTTCTTTTCTTTTTTTTATTTATTTAAATGCATATAATAACATTTTTAATTAAATATTGCAGATTACTTTTAATATTGGTATTTTTATCTCACACACATCTCACCACTCTATTATGATAATTTGTTTGGACTCTTAGTGCCAACAGATGTGCTTTGGATTGGCTTCAATGACCAGAGAAATCCAATGCTATTTGAATGGTCAGATCGCTCCCCTGTCACCTACACAAACTGGCTGAGTGACGAGCCATCGCATGCAACAAACCTACAAGAAGACTGTGTGCTCATCAGAGGGAAGGTACTGGCCAATACAAAAGCTCAGAATTAAATCCAAACTAATATTGTTTTACATTAATAGGATGGAAAATGGGGGGATCACATGTGTGAGAGAACATTTGGTTACATCTGCAAAAAGAAAGCATCCTCTAAACCAGCACAGGGCACACATGAAGAGACCAACCCAGGATGCAAGCTTGTAAGTTCAACTACAGATGATGATGATGATGATTATCATTATTATTATTATATTACATACAGCTTTTGTATAACATTTTCTTTTGTGTCAGGGCTCTGTTAGATATGGTCCATATTGTTACAAAATTGGAGCGGAGACAAAGACATTTGAAGATGCACAAACAGCCTGTTCACAGGAAGGATCCACTTTGGTGGATGTAGATGACAGGTGAGGTCAATAAATATTTGATAGTAATGAATACAGCAATAGTCATCCACTCTAAAGAGGATATAAGGAGATAAGGATGCACTATACACATACTACTAAAATAGCACTGACCATTTAGTCACTAGACTTTGTATCTGAATACAGGCTATGTATGTTTCTCCTACAAAGAAACTATTATTTTCTCAACTAAACATACTATGGTTTTTCTTGAATATAATCAATATTTTTTGTTTGTTGTAGGTATGAAAGTGCCTTCTTAGTCAGTTTAGTGGGACTGAGACCAGAGAAGTACTTCTGGACAGGACTTTCCAATATGGACGATAAACATAATTTCAAATGGACCACATCAAGAAAAGTGAAATTCACTAACTTTAATGTTGGCATGCCAGGTACCTCATCTTTGTACATCAGATAACATCAAAAATGTATATTATTATTCTTTTTAACGTCTTGTGTTTCACAAAAGACAGAAAACAAGGATGCGTTGCTATGACAACTGGAGTGTTTGCTGGGTTATGGGATGTTATTAGCTGCACCAACAAGGAGAAGTACATCTGTAAAAGGAAAGCTGAGGGTGTGCCCCCAACCACAGTGCCCCCCACCACTCCCTCTCTGACCTGTGCATCTGGGTGGACCCCCATCCCCAAAAGAAACTTCTGCTTTAAAGTGATAACTATGACAGCAATATTTGTACAGTGTTCAAGTCTGCGTACAAATGTCATATATTGTTTTGTACAGGTTTTTAAGAAGGAAAAGGATTCAAAAAAGTCTTGGCAAGGAGCATATGATTTCTGTAAAGCCATTGGTGGAGATCTTCTAAGTATTCACAGTGAAGAAGATCTCAACAATGCCGGGTGACATATATATTCAGTACATCATTTAAATAATATATTTTTTCAACATACAATTAATTTGAACTTTGAATAGTTTTACGAAGCCAGTTTGGATCGGCCTGCGTCTCCAAGGAACTACTTTTAAGTGGACAGATGACTCCCCTGTAAGTCACATACCCACCTACTACATACATATATTTTTTTTATATGTGGGCAAGAAACATATATTGTTCTAAAATTATGTTCTAGTTTGAATATGAGAATTGGGGTTATGGTGAACCAAACAACCACAATGACAACGAACACTGCACAGAGATCAATTCATACTATGGTCGCCCCTGGAATGACAGGCATTGTGATTTCTACAATGACTGGATCTGCCAAATACGCAAAGGTAGAAACTTTTATTTCAAACAGTTTGGAACATTGCTTTACATTACACTTTTTTAAGGGATACTGCCAAAACCAGAACCTGCTGACATTGCCCCAGGTATTATTCATTGCATCATAAAAACTAATTAGTATATATATATATATATATATATATATATATATATATATATATATATATATATATATATATATATATATATATATATATATATATATATATATATATATAACTTTAAATGAATGTGAATGTATTACAAACATGTTCTTCACAGTTTACAACAAAACCGACGATGGCTGGTTTATATACAATGACACACAGTATTTTATCAACAATAAACTCCAGCCAATGGAAAGTGCTCGAGCATTCTGCAAAAAGAGCTTTGGTGATCTTGCAGTCATCACAGGAGAGAGTGAGAGGAAGTTCCTTTGGGAAATTGTAAGATCTTAACATAGTTTTTTGCACATAAACCAAACCATAAATGTATTCAAAGTATGGTTTGTTTTTCTCTTATGTTTATGGGTAGATTCTGAAGGGCTCAGAGTCACAGTACTACATCGGCATGACTGTGAATTTGGATAAGTCCTTTAGGTAAGTCAAATTTCAGTTTATAATTACCATAATTTTATTACCATAAAATAAAATAATGGCATTGTGATTTTGCAGCTGGGTGGATGATACTCCTGTAACATATACTGCCTGGGAAAAGAATGAGCCTAACTTTGCAAACAATGACGAAAACTGTGTAACTATATACAAAAGTATGGGTAAGTTCAGTCAAAGAAATGTATATAATACTAATACATATGAGATTATTTATGATTCATCACTGTAAAGCTTATTAATGTAATATGTTTAAAGACTGTGAGTTATCTGAATTGTATACTACAGAAGTTTGAAAGTACACCCATCATTATCAGGATTCTAATACTGCCTGGCCATGTAATTACATAATAGTATAAATGACATGTTACAGGATACTGGAATGATATTAATTGTGGCTTGGAGCTTCCATCTATTTGCAAAAGAAGCTCTACCTTCACTAATACAACAGTAGCTCCGACTGACATTCCCAAAGGAGGCTGTGCCCCAGATTGGACAGCGTTTCAGGGAAAGGTAACTTAACCTCTGTTATGTTAGCAGGCAGCTGTAAAAACTAATCCCATCCTATGTATGTCCACATGCGTTTTTATTTATTTATTTTTTATCTATTTCAGTGCTACAAAGTTGTAACAGGGGATAACAAAAAGGACTGGCAAGAAGCAAGGACATATTGCAAAAATCAGGGTGGAAATCTGGTGTCCATTCTCAACACTAAAGAGCAAGGTTAGCACCAAGACAAATAAATTCAAAGGGAACAAAACATAGCTAATGTTTAATGCTCCTTATTAGCATTCATAACAACCCAGATGCATAAATACACTGAAGACCTCTGGATTGGTATGAATGATGTCAACTGGGAGATGCACTTTGTTTGGACGGATGGAAAAGGCATTGGATACACTAACTGGGCCAAAGGACACCCTGCCACTGTCCCAGATGGACGCTTCTCATTCTCCTCAGAGGTTAGTCTTTATACATTGTTGTAAATAAGGAGGAAAGCTGAACTGTTTTAAAATGTGTCTACTATTTTTTTGTACGTAGACTTATGACTGTGTAGTTATAGTGGGAAGCTCCACTAAACAAACTGGTTTATGGAAAGTAGAGGACTGTGAGTTAAAGAGAGGCTTCATTTGTAAAAGAAACATTGGTGAGTAATATTTTAACATACATATAATATATAATAAGTTGATAACAAATTGCTGCTACACTGGTAGAGGTAATTCAAATCTTTCTTATTCTATTACTACCCACTTACATTTTTCCCAGATCCCCAGATTCAAGTTGGGCCCACTACTGTTCAGCCAAAGTCTTTTTACAAACTTGGCAACGACTCATACAAACTTGAGACTCAGAAGATGAAATGGGATGAGGCGAGGAGGCAGTGTCAGGCAGATGATGCAGACTTGGCCAGTATTTTGAACCCCGTGACCCAGGCCTACTTGACCTTAAAGATGTCCAAACACAATGAGCCTGTGTGGATTGGCCTTAACAACAACAGGGTACTCTTTCACTCATAGAACTGTACAATGAAAGTACACCTGCTCTATTGTACTTAATGGTTACACTTTATAAAATCTGCAACTCAGCCTTAATAAAGCATAGACAAAGACTATTCATAATGAACACATTTAAGTTTTTATTGTGAAGGTTCTTTGTGTTACCGTGAAAAGCGCTGTATAAAATTGAATTATTATTATTATTATTATTATTATTATTATTATTATTATTATTATTAGTCAAGTACATCTCCTTTTTTATAAACTATTTGCTCATTATGAATTAAGTTTTTATTCATGTTTTATTAAGTGCAGTTATTATGTTATTATAAAGTGTCACCTACATAATGATTATTTTGATGCAGACAGAGGGACGGTTCAAGTGGATTGATGGCTGGTTCATGTCGTACACTAAATGGGGCACGGATGAACCCAAAATGAACTATGGCTGTGTGTACATGGACACAGACAAAACCTGGAAGACAGCACCATGCACCAACAGCTACCAATCTCTCTGCAAAAAGTCACAAGGTAAGAAACCCACTTATTCGCAGAGGTGAAAAGTAGCTGATTATAAACAATTTACACATACTTACATAACTGAAACTGAGCTGAGTTTTAAGTAACTTGTAATTACTTACGTTAATTACGTTTTGGCAATTGTCATAGTAGATTTTTAAACATATTTCTACTTAAATAATTTGAAGCACAAATCACAATAATTTCAATCAACAGTTATCTCTACAGTCTCTGCTCCTTTCTCTCTACATCCACACATAACAGCAATGCATTGCCTGCTGTGACAGGGCAGAGCTTAATCAAGTAACCCAAAACTAGTACATTGCATAGTATTTATCATGTCCACATTATACTTTTACTTTTTTTTCAAGTACAAATTTGTCAGCAATACTTGTGATACTTGTAAGTACATTTGTTGCTTTGTAACTGTACTGTTATTTGAGTACACATTTTCAATATTCTTTAACCACCTTCTTATTTGTAACCTACACCAAAAGTATTAAAATGAATAACTTTTCAGATTTAGCTCCAACACAACCACCACAACTTCCTGGAAACTGCCCTGAACCAAAAAAGAAATGGACTTGGGTGCCTTTTAGGAGCCACTGTTACTTGTTCTTCAGCACCATGTTGGATAACTGGGCTCATGCCTCAGTTGCGTGCCTCAAACTGGGTGCGTACACATTGGTACTCAAAGTTACAAAGGTAAGTGAGTGGCGTAATTAGTGGCTGCTGTATCTCTCAGGTGGGGCTCTCCTCAGTATTGAAGACCCTCAGGAGAGTCAGTTCATCCAACAGAACCTGGAGCTGCTGCATGATGGAGCCAAGTGGTTCTGGACTGGCCTCTATAAGAATCACGACGGTAATGAGTAACTAAAACATTAAGTATACACATGACCGCAACATGATTATACTGCAGTATAGTTTATATTTCTGTGAAGACTGCAGGGAGTACAAAGTGCCACAGTGAGGCTACGGTGTTTCTAGTACATACTGTTGCTGTGTCCTTGGGCAAGGCAATTCAAAAATGGGTCTGAGTCTACCCTATTAATGTATTAAATACGAATGTATCCATGTATGTATGATAAAGGTTGGATGGTTACCTCTGCCTCTTTGCAATAATGGTCTGGTTTGTGGCAGGTGAGTGGATGTGGATTGATAACAGTGTAATGGACTACAGTAACTGGAAGCCTGGGATGCCTGGTAAAGAGCCATGTGTTGAAATCAACTCTGAAACTGGACAGTGGAGCACAACCAGCTGCAGCCGATACAGATCCTACATCTGCAAAACACCCAAAAGTAAGACACATCAGGTTTGAACCTACCACATAAAACAATACAAAATTACAGTTTTACAATTGTACTATTTTCCAGCTATTATACCCTCTGAGAAACCTCCATCTATAGGTAAATCCTGTCATGTGCTTAGATGGTTGGTTAGTGTTCAGTGTGTTAATACCTGTATGTTCCCTTTTAGCCCATGTGGTAAAGGAGGAGACACACAGCTCAGCAGGCGTCACAGTGGCTGTGGTCCTGGTTGTAATCGCTGTTGCAGGACTTGGAGCCTTTCTTCTCTTCCGGAGGAGGATACCCATGCCTACCGTCCTGGGAGAGAGCCACTTTGACAACAAGCTTTACTTCAACAATCCCATCCGCTCTCCAGTGGACACTAAGGGCCTGGTGGCTAATATAGAACAGAATGAACAAGCATAGATGCACATTGCCTGTTTATACTTTTTATTTTGTTGCTATGTTTCAAGAACACTTCAAATCGCAAATGAAAAAAGTGTATCTATTACCCACTGACTGCAGTGGTTACTGTAAATGATGGCCAAAATGACAATTTTCCATCCATTATATAATCATTACACAATATGATTGGTTAAATGAATACAGGTGATGATCATGAACAATAATAATAACCTATGTGTGCCTTGTTGTAAATAATGGTTTAATAAATTTTTTTTTAATGTACTATTATTTTTATTTCATGTGCTGGATGTGTTGAATACAACCATGCTGAAAGAGAAAACTGCATGTAGCCTTTTGTGTGTGCTTGTGCGTGTGTACCCCCCCACACACACACATATATACATACGGTACATATACATATATATGTAGATTTTTTTTTATAGTAACTACAATTATTAGTCACCTCCAGCAGTAGATGCCCCCCGCCTCTCATCACATCATTGTTGAGGCAGAATTCTCCATGGTAACCGCAGCCCTCTGAGGCTGTCGCTGCAAATCCTTCAGGAGCTTACTCATTTCTTACTTCCCATAAGAGGATCTTAACCAAAACACAGGAGTTCTACCCAAAACAGCTCCTGGATAAGCAGTGTGACAAGGTGGCCCGGTGCAAGCAGAGGAGACAACACTGCAGGTAGATACCAGCCTCTTTACTGTCTTATTCGCTTATTGACATGGCTCATGTATTGCGTAGCATTGAGGATATGAAACATGTTTGTGAACTATGATGTATCGGTTGGGTTGACCTGCATAGCTAACTACGTGGGCGGATGAAGGAATTTGCTGCTTTGAGCATCTGATCTTTGATGACTCACATTAAATGTTTTATCTATATTCAAATGACTAAAGTCCTTTTGAACACCCGACGCTAAGAAAGCATGAAGCTTGGTTAATATTAGTTTTCATTTTTAAATATATAATTTGAATAACTTTCAGGCAACAGAAGCAATTCTCGTTCATCTCATTGGAACAGTAGTTCTTCAATTCTAATTATTTCACTCCCCAATCATACCCTTATCTCGCTGCATGCCCCTGCCCTCTCCCACTTTGCTGCACTAATCCTTTTGTTGTGTGAGGGGCCCAGGCTCAGGCTGCCCATTCGGCATGTTAAGGGGAGTTCAGCTGGAGGGTTATGTCGAGCCTCTGGTACTACATTTTACCAGGCGAACCTATTTGTATGTGCTCCTTCAGAGAACACATCTCCACAACTTCTTCATCTATTTACTTAGATTATTATCAATGTCCAGGAAAACCAATAGAAGTAAAGGGGCAGTTAACATGCACTGGAGATCCTGCTCTCCCCTGCTGCTGGTACTGCTTCTGATGAGCGCAGTAAAAACTGGAGGCCATGAGCACAGGTACCTTGAAGATGTGCTGCAGGCTCTGGGTGTGCATGGGGCAGAGGACCAGCCCAGACTCAAGCGACAACACATTGGACTTCTGATCGACAGAGTGCTCCAGGCAGTGCACTGTGAGGAGCAGTTTGACACCTCACGCGACGTGTGTGGAAAGGTGAGACCACAAGCTCAGTGAAGATCAGCTACAATGTCTTTATCACTCCTCTGAGCCCATCTAAAAATAACATATGTATTTGTAAACAATTAACTTATTATTATGGAAGTTACTGGTCTGCTTATTCCAGAAAAATTTACTTGTTATGGCAGGAATGTGGGTGAATGTGAGGGCTTAAGTATTTGCCTCCATGGAGCATTCACGCTGAGTACCTTTAGGCATCTATTGCAGAGGAGTTTAGAGCTACTTTCGAGAAGGCGCAGGTGGTCTGACAATGGGATTTTACTGTATATTTACTCTCAAATGTTCCTGATGGATGGAGTACTCCTCTTTTTATGTGATTTATGTAAGTGTGGGTCTAATTGGGCTAGTGTTCAAATGCCACAATAGTAGGCATTTTCTTTAAGACACAATATATACAGAAAGTGGACCCTTTATCAAGCTGAACTCTCATGGCCACATATGGACATTCAATTCTTATAGCCCTTTAGACTTAGACTTCTACAAACTTTATTGATCCACTAGGGAAATTATTAGGACACAGTAGCTCACACATCACAATATATTTTAATAACAAAGAAAAAATATGAATGGTATAATAAATTCTAAGTATCATAAGAACTTATATAAGTACTATATATAAGTAATTATATAAGTATATATGTACAAGCAATATAGAAATATAGTAATAATATAGTAATATAGAAATATAGTAATATAAAAATATAGTAATAAAAATACATCTCAGTAAGAGGTCATAAGGAAAACAATGCAAAATCTCATCTTATACCCACTATCCATCATAACTATTAGGATTTTTTATGTCATAAAAAACAAAAATACTGTCTTTATTTTCATGGTTGTTCCTCTGTCATTGCAGTGCCTGACTCCAGACATAGCCCTCTCTGTCCTGGACAATAACAGAAGTCCGCTCCTTGCTGAAGAGGACTATCAGAAGATCTCTACAGTGTTGCTTTACTACATCATTAACTTACAAGACTTGTGCATACCAAATATGGCTTCCTCTCTCACATCCTCCTCTCCTTCATCATCTTCTGAGAATTATCAGTTTTACCTATTGGCCCTGGCTAACCTGCACCCCGCAGAGGACAATCTCTTTTTATCACTGAATGAAACTGGAAGCATTCTACAGCTTATCAACAGATATTACCATCCAGCACACCAAGACTCTGATACGCAAGTAAGAAATGTATGTAATTGGATTTGCATGTATGATAGCAGTTGCTTACCTGTGTGCTTCTTTAGTGTGTTGATGCAGCTCATCTTCTCAGGGATATTGATGCTGAAGAAGATCTTGGTGCCGACATGTCCGCTGTGCCTAAACTGTCTTCAGCTATCATCAGTCACGTACTGTTGGGATACTGTTTCCAACAAAGAAATCTCCCCTCTCCAACATTCTTCACAGACTACATCTTCGAATCCTTAAACTGCACAAGCAATCTCCAGATATTTGGTAAGTTTAACAACTAACAGCACTGCATAAAACAGTTAAAAGAATTCCCAAGCAAAGATTTAAAAGATCTTCGTGTCATAAAGCAAGCCCTAACTAAAATACCCCATAGTCCTCAAAAAATTGCTAAGGAATACCTAAATTACATGTTTTAAGTAATAGTAGAAATAAGTAACCAAGGTATAAAACTGTGTATATATTTTACAATAACATGTCTCCTTACTGAAGTGTTGTTCTGTTTAGATTTAGAAGAGTTGCTTCATCAGTTGGGAGTGGGGCATGAAGATATGACACACCATCACAGCAGAAAGAGGCGGAGCATCACTAGAAATACACAAAAACATAAAGAGCATCAGTTAGCAGAGAGTGCCTGTGATGAGGAGAATAAAGCAACTACCAGTGACTGGGCCCAGGTGGGACTTTGGGGAGACTTTACACATACTTCTATATCCCCTTACCGATAACTGTGTTCTTGTTTTATCACAGGTCTGTTTTTCTGCCAATCAGTTGGTGGATATTTTTGCTCTGGATCCTTATTTGCCAATTTCCAAGGACCACTTCAGACAAATTTGTCCTGCCATTATTCAGCAGTTGCTAGGCAATGCTTGTGAGTCTGCAGAGTCAAACACAAGAGGACCTCAGCCCACTGCTTTGGAGAGTGAGACATTTTAACTCATTATGATTCCCTGCTACTTTGCCCAAGGGACAGTGATATGTGTGTGTAGTGTGGTATGAAATAATTGCATATTTTATTCTGTTAAATTATTTAACACAACTATGCAAAGTCAAGTTAAAATTTGTCAAGAACAGACTACGTCTTCTTAATGTATTTGGCTATAAATTGCTTTGATGATTGATAAACACATGTACATTAATTTGCATTGCCATATACGACATAAAACAAGTAATACAATTCATACAACCTGCAATATCTTAAGATGTTTTTGTCTTCTCTGCAGAGTATGGCTACAGTACAATCGCAGTTTTGCTCATCACTCTTGGGTCTATGCTTGGCACTTGCCTGATCTTCTTCCACTCCTGCCAGGAGACTTACACCCTGATCCTCCAGCTGTTTGTAGGCCTGGCAGTGGGGACCCTGTCTGGGGATGCACTGCTTCACCTCATCCCACAGGTATAAAACAGTGCGTCTATTCATCAAGCTTGTAGACTAATGTGACTTCTACAGATCCTAGGTCTTCATCATCACAAGCACATTAATGAAGATGAACATTTTGCCGAAGGAAAGGACCATCTTTGGAAACTTGTGGGCATGATAGCTGGAATCTATGTTTTTTTCCTTATTGAAAAGATATTTGCATTTGTGGTTCCATCTCATGCTCATGTAAGTAACATATATTCTTTCTTACATTCTTTAAGTAAGTCATTTTAATGTCAACTGTACAACTGATTTTTTAAGCTCCCTACCTTAATATTTGACTTTTTATGGAGCAGGGTCATGGACTTCCTTTGGAGCTCAACTGCAATGGTCAGTCTCAGAGGAGCAAGTCCATCTCCACTATACAGCTGGTGAGCCTCTCCCAGACTTGTGTTGACCTACATGCAGATAAGTGGTTAGTTAGTTCAGTAATAAAAAAAGCAAACACAGTTGTTGTTTTAAGCGAAATACAGTTAAGTTGAATAATAATAATATCTCTTGCATAACAGGGAATGATCAGTGGTGTAGGAGGTGGTACAGAACGGAGCATGTAGGCTGTTGGAAAAGTACTGCATCATTCAGAAAGTGCTCTTGCTTGCGGCAAATGGTGCTGGCACTTGAGCACATTTTGTACATAATGGCAAAGGTCCAACCAAAGCAGAGAAGCAGCCCATAAATACTTAGCTGGGATAGTTCTTTGGTCTGTATGATTCTGTATGTTTATAATATTGTCTGGCAGGGCCCTGTGGATGAATTAGATTGTGCTGAAATGTCCCCAGAACACACAAACATCAGACGTCATCCAAAACAGAGTGAGTGGTTCTTAAACTATGGTATGGTTGCCAAATGTGGTGTACATTTATCATTTACATTTAGTTTGATATTTACTTAAATGCATAAGTGCAGTTTGTATGTGTATAGTATTTGAACATATGGTTCAGACTCATCACTGTATTTTTGATTGTTTGGGTTCTTCCTAATTGGTGGACACACAGTGAGGTTGAGCACAGACTCCCTTTGTATTCCCAGAACAAGGCGTTCCTCTGCTGGCCGTGATGGTTATTGTGGGAGACAGCCTTCATAACTTTGCCGACGGCCTGGTTATCGGGGCAGCCTTCTCTTCATCGGCAGAGACTGGCATGGCGACTACAGTGGCTATCCTGTGTCATGAGATACCGCATGAGATGGGTGAGGAGTCTTGGTCAAAATGGCAAAAGTACTATAAATAAGTACTCAAGAAAATGTACAATTATATGAAATAATACTGTCACATACAGCACTTTTAATACTTTTTGCTATTGTTTCAACTTCTGATATCAGCTGAAGCCCTACAGGGCTAATATTCAGGAACCAATTTCTAAGTAAACACTTTTTTTCTTGAGCAAAACTTACACCCAAACCAGTATAGGTATATCACTTCTAAAACTACTTCTTATTTGTTAATATATCTAAAATAACTAATACCACTCTAGTACATTTACTTGCAACCCCCTCCAAAAAAAACCCACAACTTATCTTAATAACTTGTACATGTTTCCAGGAGACTTTGCGGTGCTACTAAACTCCGGCCTACCTGTGAAGACTGCTGTGCTTATGAACTTCCTGAGCGCCCTCACTGCCTTCATGGGCCTCTACATTGGACTGTTTGTATCTGCAGAGGCCCAGGTGCAGCAGTGGATCTTCAGTGTGACAACCGGGATCTTCCTCTATCTCTCCCTGGTAGAAATGGTAAGAAATACAATACAATCTATATTCCTCTCTCCCTCTCTCCATATATATATATATATATATATATATATATATATATATATATATATATATATATATATATATATATATATATATATATATATATATATATATATATATATATATATATATATATATATATATATATACACAATTTCTTTGTTATATCTAGCTTTTGTTTTGTCCAGCTCCCGGAGATGAGCCGTGTGAAGACCACCCAGCCATGCCTCATGTTTTTTCTGCAGAATCTTGGACTCCTGATGGGCTGGGCCTGCCTCTTATTACTGGCCCTCTTTGAACATGAACTCAGATTGTAAACCATATACCTTCATGTAACATATTTATCAGTCAATGTTATGTAAGTAAAGTGAAATCAAGTTTAAATAAGCTGTCATGTTTTTAGAAATTACAGAAGCATGTAAATTGGATCTTTTTTATATATTGTATTTTATACTCATGAGATGTCATACCAAATAGATGTGTGTTTGTGTAGTACAAGATATAATTTATTCAAATAATAGCAATGTAATCAATAATACTGTTCTGCTAAAGTAGTAATGGACCAATTTTATGTCTGTAATTTGAACCACCAAACCTGCATGGCCTAATTAGAAGCTTTGTTAGGAATAAGCTGCTTTAAACAATGTTTTTTTTTCTTTTTTTTTTATTTTTATGTAAGATATTTCTTCTTGGCAGTTCGTCACCTCTGTGTCATTGTTATTTGTTTTGGCCCTCTGTGTGATCCAATATGAGGGCACTTCCACCCACCTGGGCTGTTGTGTTCATCCACCAACCTGGATGACTAATGCTCGCTGTGCATGTGCAAGACTGAGCCTCAGCAGCCACTGCCCACACACTCTCTGCTGGCCAGAGCGGGCCCACTGACGGAGGAACAGCACAATAGAGACTATTACTTTCAGTGTATGAAGATGAAATTATAGTCCTAATAAAATAAAATGAAAAATATGGTTCATTTTAAAAGCTTACAATATCATGTCAAAACTGAAAAGAGAAGCTAGTGACAATCATATCCAAAAAGCTGACACATTTACTTCCAGGGACATGTTCAGACAATAGCAGGAAGTTGGCTGATTTTTCTCTTATTTCAGCAAAATGTGTTAGTTTTCACAATGTCAGAGAATGCAAATCCCAAACAGCTCTGATTTGCTTCTCTCTTCATTTTAACACCTGCTCTTTTGTAACAAAAACATGTGACTTGTAAAGTCTGTTTCCACAGAAGAGGAAGGAAGAGCATCTTATCTGGACAGCTGTGGGGTGAACACTAGCTCAGCAGAGAATGCCCAGAAATCTGGGTCAGAACTAGCACACAAAAATACCAGTTACACAATACTATGCTATTGTTACTAAATGCAAATGCTTATTTTCATTTATTTGTTTTGTCTAACAGGGTGTAGGAATATAAATTATGCAATAGGCTTTATTTATTAATAAAAAATATTTATAGCCTATTATGTTGTGGTCTAAACTTGTACTCCATTTATTCTGAAAAGTTGCTATAGCAATCTAACAAGTGTAATTTATGATACTACCACAAGAGGGTAGTATGTAATAGTCAATCATGAAACTAATATGGAAAAAGAAAGTTGTGTTACCTCTTTCTAAAGTCATGAACGTACATATTTCTGCTATAGCCTCTATGATTTCTGCCTATTCTAAAGGGGAATACAGCTATTTTTGACATTGTTTAAAATGTGAGGAAACTCAGTGAATAGGTCTGTTCATAATTGGGCTTCAGCAGTGTTAAAGTCATCGTTGTCTGTAAAACTTAAAATAAGTTGAATAGACTAAAATCGTTATGCCCTCGTTCAGAGAATATAGCTCATTGCATATGTTAGGCATACCATGATATAGTTAGCGTGTTGGCGTTCGCCGAGGGCGCATGTGGGTAGGAGGGCAGAGCGCACAGCTCAAGTGGCCACTGATGCTCGGTGATATTGCACTTGAAGCTCCACAACATCAACATCATCATACCTCACCACAAAACTGCATCCTTACGCATCGGCTCCTCCGTTCCCCTGTCCCGTACTGGAGAAAGTTTGGCGAGATCAGCAGAAAGGGACGTTCAGGCAGCAAAGAAAAGATGAAGTTAAGATTTTAATTAGTAAAAATGAGATGAGGATGAGAAACAGCATGACACACGTGTATGCTTTCATCCAACGGTGAGACGAGCTAGCACCACCTCTGGACAAACACATGGACTCTGTGGACCAGGCGCTGTTTCACGTAAGACATCTATAAACTTACTTAATAATTTAAATTTAAAATAATTTAAATTAATAAACAACACACCTTACTCACGACAAAAATTGTTCTAAAGTTATATTCGTACTTTAGCATGCTAATGTGGAATTGGCGCATTTGCTCAATTCTTGTTGCTGATTGTAAAATTTTTGTTAACTTGTTAACTTTGGACGATTCATTGAAAAAATGGCATGCATAATTGTACAATTGAAAATAATATAGCCCTTTTCTTACTGTTATTTATAAGTATTTCTTTATTATAGTCCCTATTATGCTATTGCTGTGTAGACTTTAGTGTGTATGAGTAGCTTGACTTAATTGTTTTGACCATTACAGACCCAAGGCAATGGAGCTCGGAAAAAGGGTCGATTTAAAGGTTCAGATGGCAGCACTTCCTCTGATACGACCACCAACAGTCTTGTTCGCCAGGTAAGGACTTATAGCCCAACTGATAGGCTGGTAGGCTTCTGCTTCATATAACGTAGTATATAGCACAAGAGGCAGGCTTTGGTCATCATCATTCATCAAGGAGGAGATTGTAAACATTGCTGGGGACAAAATGTTAAAGCCTTTTGGTTGGAGAGAGCCTAGAGGATTTGCAGCGTCTGTTCTTTGTTGAGCCAACCTGCAGAAGGATCTCAACCCTTCCTAAATATTTCTGCCTTTTTAGGAGGAGGCACAGATCTTGTCTTTGGCACAGAAGCGCTAGTGCTGCAGTGGATCAGAGCATCTCTCCTGTGTGCGTTTTCTCAAGGCCAAACTAGTTACTTATGCATGTTTTAAGTTTGTCCAAAACAGCATGAATTTACAGCCACATGCCTAGCACCCCTGGGAGTCTATGTGCGTTCCCACAGTTGGGTCCTTCTTCAATATGGATTGTCTTATCAACTGAGGGAATAAAAGTTTTGCAAAGTGGAAATCAGAACTTTGAAGGGGAGTAGAAAACAAATTGAAAATGTGTGCCTTGAGAACAGTTAGAAGTTTTCGTCAGATGTGTGCCGTATAGTAGCAGAAAATAGTCCTTTCCAGTAACTTCTGTGTTTACATTTGTATTACTGCTTAAATTTAGGCCATCAGTTCCCCAAATTCCTTAAGTCACAGAGGCAGTCATCTCCTGTAAGCGCAGTGTTTTAAATAGCAGAAGTAACAGAAAGACGGGAAACTCTGACGCAGAACCTCGCTCTGCATATCATTTATCTAAGTTTGATCTCATTTCTCATGGAGTGACACTTTGAAGATGTTGTAAAACACATCTTTGTGTTTGTTTTTCCTTTTATTTCGACCTCCCTTTACAGATCTATTAATGTACTTTACTCAGGTTGCAAAGAATGCTGTTTAGATTAAATAATAATAATAATAATAATGAAATAATAATAATAATAATATGTTTCTTCTGTGCATCTCAATCCTAGAAGAAAAGTTGCAGTGGTTCATAGAAGGAGAAGGCAAAGGGCAGAGTGTGTAGGCTGTCATGTTACTGGGAGCTGTGGCCTGAGAAAGTGTATGGGGGAGGATAAACTGCACTGCCATGGGAGCACTGCAGCTTGTTTTACTGATAGAAGAAAAACATGACCAGGTGAAGCGTTTCTTTTATAACATGTAGTTGGTTACTAAAATGTGCTGTTTTGTGCCGAAAAATCCCCAATTTGTACTATGACTGCCTTAAAATATCTGTCATTACATTTTTAGTTCTTAGACAATTACATCTTTGTCATAGAAATAAAAAAGCAGCATTTCTTATATTAAAATGTAAACAATATCTTCAACAAGAAACAAATGTTGAAATTATTAAATATTGGCATATTAAGCTTTAGACTTTTACAATGGGAAGAGTAAACATAACTTTTTCACTTTAAAATATAATACTCTACTATCACTAAAAGAATTATGTCTGAGGACTCTGTGAAGTACAAAAGTTACTCTAGTAAATGTACTTCAATAAATGTAACTCAGTACTTCCACGTCTGAACTACTAAATACATATTGACATCAGTGCATTACAGCATATCAGTGTGGCTTTAAAGATACGTCAAATGGAGACTTTACATGTGCCATTTAAAAAATCATAGTGCTCCAATAAATGTTTCCAAGGGGATATTTCGACTGCAACAAAACATAGAGTTGTATTGACGTTATTATACAGATATTGTCGTAGATTATTTCCTTATAACATCAGCTAAATGTAATAACCTAGCTATCAAATTACTTCCTTCCTAAATCATGAAAGTTTGGGAAGACTTTAGACCAAGCTAAAATGATGCTGGATTTTGAAACTGTTCATTTGACCTGCAGATGTAATTACTGGCAGCTGTAGCCTCCGGGTTTGTTTCACTAAGTGTTGATATTTCTCATCCCATAAGTGTAAAAAAGAGTGATGATCCTTTAGACTCGTCCAGACTGCAAGTCTGTCCTGTGTCTGGTGCATCCTGGGAAACAATCCAAGCCCCCGTGACCGTGAATAATAATACACTTCTTAAAATAGTGCATTGCTAAAAACAGAATTAAGAAAGACAGGGCTTAATAGTGAGTGAATAGAATAGAGCAAACACATGAAGAAGGCAAGTCTTGTAAAGCATTATCCAATCAAGGGCAAGGTATACAAGCAAAAGAGTCAAAATAACAGTAGTAGTACTTACAGTACTAGTAATATTAGTAATATTAGTAGTAGTATTAGTAGTACTTACAGCAGTAATAGTTGTACAAATTTGAATCAGCTCTTAGCTGTAAACATACTATATTAGATTATTTTGCTACTAGGTTTAGTACTAATAAAAGTAGTCAATACTGCAGTAGGTTTATAACAATAGTCAGATAACAATTGTAGTTTTACTTCAACAAAACTTGTTTGTACGTCTTCCACCTCAGACTTATAGATTTATTTTGACCACATATTGACCCAGTTTTTCCACTGCCTCCTACATTTGTTATTTGGATGTAAATGATTGCACTCCCACTTGTTGCATCGCCTTCTTCAGTCTGTTTAAAGGCCCATACTTTATCTTTCTATTGTATTGTGTAACATGTCCAAGTCTTATCCTGCATTGAGCTGATGAGAATGCCTTGTGTGATTGAAGTCCTGGAGGGTGCGGTGAGTGGAAGGAAACCCGGTCTAATTCTCTACATGATTGCAGATATTTTTCCTTCTCATGATCCTCCTGATTATTTTTTCTTTAGTTAATGGAGAAGAGAGTTGACGCAAAGAGCTCATTACAGATATCAGATCTTTGCATGTAAGACCAGTGACATGTTGTGGTTAGAGCCGGAGTCACACTGTGTCCAAGCCACTGTCAATCTGAAGTTACCCACAAGACCTTTGTGTGAACTCCACAAATGTATGCCAGGGTTTTCCAGTGGGATGTGGGACATAGTTGAGAACACACCAAAGTGCAAGCTTGTGGCCTGTACTTGAGGTTTAAGCATAGACTGTATGTCTATGGGTTTGAGAGAGTCTGGCTGTAGTTTTAGTCTTTGTTGCCATCTAGTGGCTACGTTTATACTGCATGTACAATGTGCAGACCTTGTACATGCAGTCACATAAGGGGCAATATAAATGCGGTGGCTTTGCCTCATGAAACGTGTGTCCATTTGTACAGTGTAATTGTTGCATTGAAAATTGTTTTCATACAAATCATCATTAATAATTATTAATTAATTATTATTTTAATAAATGTAAAAAAAAATATGTACATTGGACCAGTGAACATCTATAACATCAAAACATCAAATGTATCCCTATTAAAACAGATATTGCTTGAAATTAGCTTTTTAACAGCTGATGAGATCAGACAAATAAAGTTTTGGTTGTTATGTTTTGGGGGTTTTTTGGCTTTAGAAGCCATGGGTGGCTGTATGCAATAGGATGCACCTGATGGGTTATTCTGATGGATTATTTTGAACTATTTCGTGTCCTACATATAGTGAATGCATGACAAAGATCCTTCATCATGTCCTTGTGGTTTGACTCAATGTCAAATGGAAGTCTTGTGTCTTCTGTAAGTGAGATGTTTCTTCTCTCAGAAGACAAAGTGCTTCCGACAGGGTGAACGGCTGATGTCTTCCCTGCAGTGTTCCTCACGAGCCTGAGTAATGATCTTTCCTTAAGGGGCTTGTGATGGATAGAAACATTCACAGCTGAATAATAGGATTCTCTCTGTCAGGTGCACAGCTCTGTGGATAATGATGGCGCTCTATCACTTCAGGCACATTTTGGTTGGTCGGTGAAATATTCCCATAAGGAGAGAAGCTTTAGTAGTGACAAAGTGCTGCAGTTCTGTGGACCTCTGTCATGACTGGACAGAGTCGTGGACTATCACATAGATGCATTAAGATTAAGGCTAGCCACACGCTGCTGTGTGCACATGTCTTCTGCACTACACAGGTTGATAAAAACCCAAAAGCTACTGGTATATGCTGTTTTAAAGTATCTTGGTCTAATACTATAATCTAATCTAGTCTGTCTTGTTGTACAGCCACAAGTCTTTTTTTCTTATATAAGTATTATATGTAGGAGGACAGTGCAATCTCAGTCTCAATAGAAATAAATCTGAAAGCCATTTCATATGTTTTTGACAAAATAAGATACCGATAAAATAAAAAATTGTGATGAAATAATTCAAGGAAAAAATCGCCCATTAAGAAGCACAATTACCCCAGTTTTATTAAAACACATGAAGGAAACAACACATATATAGAAGGTGCTTTTCTTAAGAAAACAATAAAGTTTACAGTAATTAGTATAAAACAGTTTTTTATGCCATCTACTGTAAAGTTAATGACAAACATATAACTAAAAATGAACCAAGAAGATATTTTACAGTTAAAAGACTATCAGGGTTCTGTGATTGTGATCTTTAATTTACATTAGATTAATTATTCCACATTTCTTGGAATGTATGGTGGTTTAAAAATGTATACACTTATTGTTGCATTCATTGGGCATTTTGTTGACGCAGCACTATGTTTTTCTCCAGTCACCTTAGCACAGCTTGGATAGAGGGCCACTCTGCACTTTGCATGAACTGAGACCGTATGTCCCTCTGCACCAAACTCACAAGTGATTCTCACTACAGCCCTCACAGTCTCATCTATAACCATTAGAGTAGAGAAAAACGGGGGAAAAGCATGAATAAATAAATGCCAATAGGGAGGAGTCTGGAGTGGAGACATTAAAGTGGAAAAAGTCCAGGAGAGGAAGCTTTCAGTCAGACAATGTGAGTAGTAGAGGGGAACACTGAGGCAGTGTACTCTTCATTAGGGATCCTCGGACAGCGGTCAATAAAGGACACTCCACCACTCTTTCTCCTCCTCCTCTTCCTCCCCACTCAGAGGAACAACTTGTGTGTACGAGTGTGACTATCCCAGACAGTGGATGTGACTGTAACCTCCCAGAAATACTGCAGAGGATTTGGCAGCTCCATGCCAATGAGGGC